TTTTTATAATTCGGTTAGTAGTTATTTCCCCGCGGAGCTCGTGCTGGAGATATATAGCCTGTTTTATATACGTTTCAACGCATGTGGCCTTTGTATAGCTTGGCACTCCGTCCAACATGCTTATTGTTTATTGCATCTAAATAGATTGCTTGTCTCAATACATAAACAACCTATATATTCTATCTTTAATGTCATATTTAAAAAAAAAAGGCAAAACGCGTTTGTTTAAACTAACATTTCCCCTCGTTTTTGTGTGTATTCATTTTAATTAAGGCTCTGTTATAAATCCTGCCTAACTATTTTATTTATATTATAACGATTTACTTAACTTGATAGCTCGTTATGTTAGGTTGACCGAACTGTAGCTTCAGTTGCCTTGTTGGTACTGGTGTACTGACAATACACTACTACAACTGCGACAGTAGCTGACGGTGTGGTATTGATCACTATAAGGTAATGTGTAAATGGTTGATATGCCTTAAACAAAAACTAGAATCCATCTGTTAAAATCTCCGGCATTCTAACTGTTAATATCTGCGTACTATTCTAGCATATTGGTTCTAGTTTTCTTCTATTTGTCTAAATAAATATACAATTTATTACTAGTTTTATTTATTATTATTTATTCTGAATACACATTCTGTATGCGTGTATGTGTGTGTGTATGAATGTCTGAAACGCATGTTCTCCATTCTGGTAAAGGATATAATAGACGATGCCTGTGCCTAATCAAATTGTATTTAAATGCAAGAAAATTCACCTGAAATGAATTGACATGAAATTATAACGTAGACCAGAATACCAATTATAACGTACAGGTATGGGTTGCTATTGTAAAATTACACATCATAATACTATCACAATATACCAAGGAGCGTATTCTCATCAATTACATATCAACCTCAGTACTGTGGCGTACACATTCTAGTGCTGATAGTTATAGAAAATCGAGCTGATTTTAAGCAAAGTACAGCTAACTTATTTCGGAGGCAAGTTCGAAACAAATACAAACTCATATATACATACAGGCTAATTTTGTGATTTTTGGTAAAAACAATCTCATTCGTTTCATGCTCTCATAAAACAAGTTCGTAGAAAATAGAGAGAAATGTAACAGAACCATTTGATTGTGTCACGCTGAATCTTTCTTTTCAACCAATTTTATCTTTTTAGCTATGTGACAGTAATGTGAAAAGTGAAGAATCCCGCATGTATAAATGATACCTTAAACGTCATTACTATATTCAATTAAATGTCAAGGTCATTTTCCTATCTCTCAAACGTAACTTTCATTTGTATTTAATGGTGTTTGTACCAATCACGAAAAAAACCCAATGTTTAAACAAGCATTGGAGTCCCGCAGCAAAAAAGTACAATGGCGTATTTGTTTTACCGATGCGATGACGTGCTGCACGACCTCCTTGTCCATGGAGTGCAGAATGAAGTGTCGCATCTGTGCCTCGCGAAGCTGGGTCATAGTCTGTCTCAGTTCCTGGTCGTGCCCACCTTTTATGTTGGACGGCAGCAGAATGGGCCAAGCAAATATGTCTCTGTTCCCGAGGGCCAACACGGGTGAAAAGTCATCTAAGACACACCAATCAATGATCATATAAGCTACATTAAATTCTATGCACATCCAATTGTAAGATGATGGAAATAAACATCTTTTCATCATTCCACTGGTTTGCTTTTTAATCTATAAAGTCCGAGACAATGTTGCTACTAAACCTAACGTGTTAATTATTTCATAACACAGTTACATTTTATTACCTCATCAAAAGAAAGTACTGATTTGGAAGAATTCGGCGAACGACGGTTGAAATGAAAACTTCACTACTTAAGTTAGGTATATATTGTCTTTGATGAAGATATTTTATATTTCCTAAATGTGTACAAAAATTTAATATCAAACATACCTTGTGACAAAAAGGCGACTTTGTTCCAGCCCAAGGTTTGCACAATCTCGGCGACAGCACTGGATAGTGATTTTGTGTCAGGAAGCACTGGAAGGGCTCTTTCAGATTTCTCCTGACCTTCACTTGATGACGTCACTAAATGAATCTGTTGTTTGATGACGTAGTCCATGGAGGTAAATACGTCGATGAAGGGTCCAACAGCGATAACATTTTCAGGATTTTTGAATACTGCCAAAGCTATAAAACCACGTAAAAACAATAACTATAGTAATTTCACATAAACTATAGGTTTGCTGCGATTTCAAATATTAAATTTAGCGGGACATTCCATTTGTGCCGATACAGAACTAGCGATCTACTTATTGGAATGTGACGTTCCGCCAAAACAAATCAGTTCGTTGGAAACGTCTCATTTGAGGGAACCAAGTTGGACCTGATATGGCGGCAAATGAAAATTTTCATTTCAGACGTTCACCAAATTGGTTATTGGTCTGCGTACAACAAGTCAACCTGCATTGAATTTGTCCAAAATGGTATAACCGACTCTAATTAAGTGTCGTCATAAAGTGTAAATCTATTTAATGAGGGCAGTATACACAATGTTCGACTATATCTTTCTTTACGCCGGAGCCTTTGATGTTTATTGCGGGGAAGTCGTACCTTCATCCTATTAGATGATCAGAGTTGCACGTGCTGAAACGTTATTTGGAGCAATGTTACTTTTCAGACCAAATCCGAGTTAGCACAACTTGAATGCTCCGCTAAATGGAATGCACTAGAAATTTCTAGTGAAAATAGTTGTTGTGAGGCTTGGTAAGCTTTGGGAAACATATACCTAGTAATTGTAATTCTTGATTCTATTAACAATTTTTGAGAGCAGTCCTGATGTGTAGTTAATGTACATGTCAATCGATTTTGGTTCATGGATAACTTAATTCGTTTTAGACGCTGGAATGTAATGGTTGACTCACCTCACTCCATGCAACTTCGATAAACGGTTGAGTCACCTCGCTCCAGACTTTAATAAACGGTTGACTCACCTCGCTCC